AATTTTGGATCGAAGAACTATTAAATTCGTTGAAGAGTTAACTCCTTTAGGACAAAGCTCCAGTAATTTGCAAGTGAGAAACCAAAGTTTGCAATGTCCTTAGAAACAATTTGCAACTCGTACTCCAAATTTTGGATCGAAGAACTATTAAATTCGTTGAAGAGTTAAATCCTTTAGGACAAAGCTTCAGTAATTTGCAAGTGAGAAACCAAATTTTGCAATGCCCTTAGAAACAATTTGCAACTGGTACTCTACATTTTAGAACGAAGAACTATTAAATTCGTTGGAGAGTTAAATCCTTTAGGACAAAGCTCCAGTAATTTGCTAGTGAGAATCCAAATTTTGCAATGTCCTTAGAAACAATTTGCAACTACTACTCGAAATTTTGGATCAAAGAACTATTGAATTCGTGAAGTATTTTGCAATTTAGATACCAAATTTTGCAAATTCCTTACGAAAAATTGGCAACTCGTACATGAAATCTTGGATCGTCGAACTAGAAGATATGAACTGTTCATGTAAGAAACATGTATTAATTCATCTAATGCATCTGCACATATCAGCTGTCCACATACATAAAGACATGAACTTGGATTTACAAACGAAGGGTTGCTATGTACCAAAAAAACCCCTAATACTACCAATATATATCTACATAAACCTATACATGTCAACCAAATCCAAGTTGATCTAGTCTCATGTTATAGAAACATCAACTTGGATTTACAAAACAAGGGCTGCTATATGCCAAAAAAAACCCCTAAAACAACCATTATGTTTATGTCACCCAAATCCAAGTTCATGTGGTAACCCATTTACAATAACATCAACTTGGATTTGGATTTCTACACCTCTTCCTCGTATGACCTGCTTCATGGCAGCGAGAACAATGATAAACCTTCTTTTGTTGATGTTGAGACTCGATCCTCACATGACGAGGTCTGCCAGCTGGTCGAGATGTTCTAGGAGGCAGCAAAAAGGTTTGGTTCATGAGCTGAGACACTGTCAACGCATTTGGCTTTGGCATGTCATGGGTCTCAACAGGATGCATAATGCCACTGTATATTTTCTCTTGTGAGCTACGAAGATAACATTCCTCGACATAGCTATACACATTACCATGCACTTCTTTAATGGCTGCACAAGCATGTGGGCAAGGAATGCCAGACATTTGCCAAACTTTGCATGTGCATTCCCTTAGTATCAGATTCACACATACATCTCCACACGGTGTCCGAACCAATGCAATATGTGAGCCATGCAGCTGAACTATCATAACTTCTGCCCTCAAAATATTTTCCTTCAACTTTGCTTCAACATTGGGACCAACTATGCTTTTCCACTTACTCATGGCTGCCTTACTTGCAAAAAATTTCTTGCTCAACTTGTCTCTATGCTCATTTATAAGAACACATATATTATGCCTCCTCTCTTCAAGAATCCATGCATTGAATGATTCGGCCAAGTTGGTTGTTATCTTATCCCATCTTCAAAATGGGAACAACGATAGTGCCCACCGATCAACATCGCCTTGATTTTCAACCCATCTTGCTAATTGTGGAGAGAACATCCTCAAATTTCCCATGGCTATATGAAATTCGTGCTCATGCCTTGCATAGGCAATGTAATCAAGCAACTTTAGTGCCTCTTCTTTGCTGTTCAAGCAACTTTAGTGCCTCTTCTTTGCTGTTCCTTCCCATTCCCCTACAAACTTTATTAAACTCAGAGCTAAAATTCTCCTTAACATGTCGATAGAAAATGCATGTCTATCACCATCAAATATGGCTCTAACAGCACCAATAATAGCATTATTTCTATCAGAAACAATAGTTACCTGTAGCGAACCAAGGATATCTTTAATATTTTAAGAAACCAAGTCCAATCATCATGAGTTTCACTCCCAACTATTGCAAAAGCTAATGGAAATAACTCATTATCGGCATCGTATGTTGAAGCTGCCAGTAAGGTGCCTTGATAAGGACCACTGAGGAAACATCCATCCACATATAAAATAGGCCTAGCCCCAAGCAAGAATCCTTTAATGGAACAACCATATGCAATAAATAAACGTTCAAATCTATTGTTCTCAGAAGCCACCCATTTTGCTACAGTGTCAGCATCAGTCTCCATTAGTCTATTACACAACCAAGGAACAAGCATATATGATTGGTCAGGAAGCCCATTTATTTCCACCAATGCCCTCTCTTTCGCTCTTAAAGCTTGACGATAAGTTAGACTTATGCCATAGTCTCTATATATGTCAGCTTTGATTTCATTGGGTCTTTTTTCCACATTAGACCTTACTATGTCATCAATTATAGACGAAGTCAGTGTGCACCTTGTACTGTAAGAAACTTCAAGGTCTTCTTGGGCAGAATGTAAGTGCTCATTCTTGAAAGTTGTTACACGAAGTAAGGGCATAGACTTCCTTAATGAATATGCTGTTATCTTCCATTGACATCCTTTTGCCTTGCAAACTGAAATTATTTTATTTGTGTTGTTCTTCACAAATTTATATTCAAACCTGTGTGCAATACTATACTTGTAGATTGCTTGTCTACAATCATCAGCACTCGCAAAAATCTGCCCAGGTCCTACTAGCAAATCCTTCCACTTTATTGCATTTAGCTCAGGCATTGGTGTTGGGATACTTTGTATTGCACATGGTAGAACTTCAAGATCTTGTGTAGCATGTGAATTCTCAGCTGAACATCCTACTCTGCATTTTCATTCAAATCATGTTTATTACTACCATCCATATTTATATTAGCATAATATTAATTATGCAACTATTAAAAAAACTTACCCATCAATTGAATCTCTTGTTGCCTCTGTACTTTGCTGTATCTTCCAATTATGTACACATGAGCAAAATTATCATTCAATTTCATTAATTGATTTATCCCTTCATCATCTTTAAGGTCTAAAAGAGCATTGCAATCAAATTTTACTTTGTACTTCAACTCTATTCCATTTAAATCACAATTTAAGCATGATGAAATCAATCTAACAAGTCCTTCAAGAGACATTCCTTCTCTAATCATTCTTCCATTACAACTCCCCCCATCATAACACATTGTCCCATGCATATCTTTTACAATATCTCCACCAAAATGAAAATAACAAAAAATTTCTTTACACAACTACTTTCCATCGTACCCAATAATATCAACCTACAAGAAACAAAATAAAATGTAATAATATATCACTTAGAAACAAGTTACTTTTGACATAAGTGATTTTTGCATCAGTCAAACAGTGACAGCGTTCCATCTTAAAATATGGACACTCGATGATAATTTCTTACACTTTCAGTTGCAAAATGTCGAATCTTCATGCCAAATATTTTATAACGTCAAATAAAAAAAATTCTTTCATGTTCAGTTGCAGAAAACCATTCCATCTTTTTCCTTACGAAAGCCATTTTGCAAGAAATTAGACCTTCATGGAGTAAACCTTTTTGTTCAGATGAAAGGATTTGCAAAAAAAAAAATACCTGTCTACACGCACCAGCACAAAACCTTAAGCTTTCTTGAGTCAATAATTAAGACAACTCCACCTCTTCCAAGCATAACTCTGTTTCAGGAATGGGTACTCTTCAACGTACAGCTCCACCTCTTACATGCACCTCTCATTAATGGCGGGAAAGAAACAAATCAGGAGGGAAATGTTGGAGATGATGAGTGTACATGTTATATTTACTCATAGGGGCATTTTCGTCATTTCTTTCGTTATTCTGATTGGAGAAAAATAACATGGGACTTGATTGGCCTTTTAGAATTTGTTGGGACTTAACTGGTATAAAATTGATCTTTTGAGGACTTAATTATCATTTTTTCATTTATTTTTTGCTTTTTTACTTGGGAGTTATGTTTGAAATTTTATTTACTTTTATTTTATACTTTTGTTGTATTAGTGTTGATAAAATTAGTAAAATAATTTATAAATAAGACTAAAAGAGTGTACACTATCACTATGGAATGAGATATAAAAAGTCCAATATACTCTTTGTTTATCTATTAAAACAAAAGTATATTGAGTGGAGAGAGAAATTAGTCAATTGCCACGTTATTTCATTTTTTTTATTACATTTCTATTCTTTTGAAATGGTATTCCCATTCCTAATTAATTAAAACATACTAAATGAGACAACTCGTTCTCATTTCAATTCTCATCCAATTCTTTCCATCATATTAAACATATTGCTACTGTTTTGATGTAGTGAAATAATTGGAAATTCATCAAATGAGTGATAAATCTTATCGAAATTCACAGCGTTAAATAAATATTAGATGTTAATTGCTTCTAAGGTGAACATGGGCAAAGTTTCACTTTCCTAGAAGCCTATTCAATTAAGTTTATATATACTACATAAGTTCATTATTTTGATTTATTATTGTTTGAAAAGTTTCAAATAGTTTTAATATTGTCAGGTTTTTTGAATTGATGAATGATGAGATGTGCACATCACGCGTAATTTTGAGTTATTAGGTGTCTTCGGTCCTCGAATGTGATTGACGTCAAACATTCGTGTCGACTGAGGACCATGAAGATTAAAATGTTAATTGAATATTTTCACCAAAAAATTAATTTGATATTTTTCATTTAACACTATCCTCTTAATCTTGTCAATATGTAGTCTCAGAAGTCAAAACACTGCTCAAATATTTAAGATATAAATAAAATAATCTTTTAAAACAAAAATTTTAATCACAATATATTATTTTCGTTAAAGTTTAGATATAAAAGTTACTACAAGATAATTAGTCTGCAACAAATGGCAGGTATAAACATTAAACACTAACTGATACCCCACAAATTATTTTTTGTCAAGTTGCAAATAATCAGGCAAACCATAGAATGTTTGCTTCAATTAGTGGGACTGACTGGCCAAAAAAAAAAAATAGTGGGAGTGTGGGACAAGAAATTCAAAAAATTGCATCTCAGTGTGTACTTGACACGTCACACACACACACACACACATTTATTGACAAACTATGAACTGAAAATAACTTGATCCACATTATCCAAAAAAGAAAAACCTTGACTCACAAAATATGTGCCATTCATAACACAACAAACGGGAAAACCATTTGCGGCAAGGAGAGTCTGAGTAGCCCTTATATTCACACAGCAGTACGCAAGGATAGCACCATAATTAAAAAGAATGGCAAAAGAAAACAAAGCGAAGTATCACTGAGGCTCTACCTTTGTTGAAGGAAAGATTCCACTATAGCTAAAACCTTCATGGCTATAAGGATGGCGTAAATTGCCCCCACTTGCGTCCACATCAATTTCTTCTGTAGTTGGATCTGATTCAGAAGTGGGGTTCAGACCAGCAAGCTCCATTATATTCTCGACTTCTTTTACCACCTCAGCCATTGATGGCCTCTCTGCTGCATATTCTTTGACACACCTCATTGCCACTTCCACAAACCTCTCCAAACCATGTGGAGTTGTAGCTTTGCTGATGGATGGATCTATGATGGAATGTAGGTTGAATAGTTCTTTTGACGTGTCCATCACCTTCTGCACCTCTCTCACAATGTACTTCCCTTTCTCTATTGGCCTTCTTGCCGTCACCAATTCCAGCATCAGCACTCCAAAGCTATATACATCACTTTTTTCAGTTAACTGTTGGGTCATGTAATACTCAGGATCCAAGTAACCCTACAAGGGGGGGGGGAGATTTTCGTCAGATATTTCTTTGCAAAGTCTGCATTCATTTGAAATTCTATTATATATTTCAGAATGAAAGTTTCCTTCAGTTTTCTTTATGGTTAAAATGAAACTTTGAACCTAAGACATACTATTCACAGTTCTCGCTACAAATGTAAAAGGGGAGCCAGACAACTAGACAAGGACTTCATAGAGATCACCTATAGTTCTCAATGAACAAAGATGGACACTGATTCATAAACTAGATGGTGTTTAAAGCATTCACTAACCATTGTCCCTTTGACTTGAGTAGTGACATGGCCCCTTTCACTGTCAACAAGAAGCTTGGAGAGTCCAAAATCTGCAACTTTCGCATTAAGGTGCTCATCAAGTAGAATATTGCTTGATTTTATGTCCCTGTGTATGATGGGTGGGTTGGCAAGTTCATGAAGATAGGCCAGACCCCTGGCTGCACCCAGGGCTACTTTAAGCCTCCTCATCCAATCCATTCTGATCCCAGACTTTCCTATATGGACCGAGTCAAATAAAATGTTAAGAAATGTATTTCCCAGCCTAAAGAATTGTTTTCTGACAATTTTTGATATATTAGACTTCAAACTAATTCTCATACATTCAGGCAGATGAATATCAGAGTTCCAAAGAGATTTTATGTGGGGATTATCAACCATTTACATATTTTCTGACAAATGCATGTGAGTTGCATTAAAACACTTCGTTCCTTTCTCAAATCAATACCATGTAGGAATATATAGGGATTTGCTACCAATCTTGACATCTTTACCAGAAACTTAGTATATGTGTGCAAAACACTAATTTTAAGCTTTTAAATAAATAAGACAAGCAAGTAAGGGCACTTTTAATAATATCAAGTTCATCTCCAAATTTATGTAGTGTGCAAAAATAAGGGTATTTACATGTCCATTTTATTGTGGGAATTCAGAATTGGTAAACAAATATCAAGTATATGATCTAAAGAATCGACAACTGAAAGATGGACCATATATATGTTGGAACTACATGGTAATTTACAAAGCCAATGGGCAGATTGGCAGTCTATTTGGCAATGATCAAAAGGGGGATGTACATCTTGAACAAGCTTTTGTCATTGTTCTGCCCCGTTTCTTTCTAAATTCACCTCTATGAGACAATATGATATCATTCATAAGGAGAGGGGGTTGGAATTTGAGGGTACCTGAGAGACTATCCATTAAAGTGCCATTTGGAATATACTCATACACCAGCATTTGTTCACCTTTGTCAAAACAGAAACCGACAAGACCAACAAGATTCTTATGATGGACCCTTGATAGAAGTTCAATCTCAGTTTTAAACTCTACAGCACCCTGCATGGATTCTTTTGCGGCCCGTTTGATGGCAACAAATTCTCCAGTGGGCAGAACAGCTCGGTAAACCTTATTAATAATGAGGATTTATTAGCTATTGCGGAACAACATTAAACAAAAAGATAGAATTGGAAAATAGAGCAATGTTACTAAAGCCGGTGCCATAAGAGAGCTCAAGCCTCCGGTTGTCCGATCATCTTGAGATTTGTGCAATCATCTGAAAACTTAAAAACATATTTTCTTAACTAAGCATGGATCTCAAGGCATGATTTGGTGACTGAGAGTGAGATGCCGAGCTTTTCCAGGCACTGCTCGATTGCCAAAAGCAAACAACCAAACAGAAGATATATGGAAGCTTTTTTTTCATTTAAAAAAAGATTTTAAGGGATTCTGGTCTACCAAAATTATAAAAGGAAAAAGATAGCCATGAGATGTTACTATTATAAACCTTTCCATAGCCTCCAGATCCAACGGTGTTGTCTTCTGAGAAGTTGTTGGAGTATTTCTTTAGCTCTTCTAAAGAAAACCATCGTGCTCCTTTTAACTGAGGAGCCTTGCCAGTGTTCTTGTTCAGTTCCCAGTTTACTGAATTAGCATGGCATTTGATTAATAAGGCTGCTAGAAAATTTCTTTAAAAGGGACAAATTTTAGCCAAAAGTGTATCAAACATATCTTACCAAAAGGGTTTAGTTCGGCAGCTCCTTTTGCTCTTTTCTTTTGGCGTATAGCATATATCCCCGCAATGAGTGCTAGTACCAAAAAGACCACAACTGCGACAACTGCACCAACTATAACCCTTGTATGTGATGACTTTGACTTATCTCCTAAATGACATGAAACATGAGAAGGATAGTGAGAGAGAAGAACAAGCATTATAGAGCTTAGAATTTTCAGTTCATGCCGAGACATAAATTTACCTGCAAAGTACCCGTAGTCGTCACCAATAAAGAAGTAAGGAAGGAAAAATTTTGGCAACTTAAGAAGCTGGCTACTAATCACGAAAGCAATACTTGAAACTCCAGTTCTATTGAAACGATCACTTGAAGACGGGAATACTTTCAGGGACAATTCAAAATAATCAGTAGATGGATTCCTGAATGGATTACTTAGAGAAACAGAATCCACAGAAGATTTTGTGATTGAAAAGCAGTCATCAGAGACAGCTCGAGTTCCTTAAAATAACTTGCATTACCGAAGTCTGAGAAACTAAGAGCTCTGGCGTATAGAGTTCCAGTGTAGGGATATGAACATTTGCAGCTAGGACTAGAAATCTGACCAGAACTGCAAGGAAGAGGTGCGCAATTATCTGGTGGTGTTGAATATACGGAATTGGATTGGGGTTCTTGGCAGTAGATTTTAGCAGAAGCTCCGTTTTCAAGGCAAATCCGGTTGCTAACTAGTCTGCAAAATTGTTAGATAACTGCCTCAAAGGAGAGAAACCATAAAACAGCAGTTTGAGTCTAAGCTGGGGTGAAGTTAACATGAAATCAGAAGTTACAATTAAAAAAGAATACGTGAGATGAAACTTACACTACTGAAACTTTATAGTTCATGTTTTTCTGCGTGAAGTCAGTAATTGAATTATGCTCCAAATCAATGAGTTTCAAGCGGTTGCTGTTGGCATTGCCAATATCTAAGGTGCCATTGAGATGGTTGCCCCTCAATACCCTGTTCCCACAATTCAACATAATCATCTTATAACCATCATCAGTAGTCAATACATAAATCCAAGAATTAATTGGATAAATATGCGCATGTTGTTGTCATTATGTGCCTCCATATCTTATTTAATGAGATAGTAGTACTCACACAGACTCTAGACTGGATTGGTTGAATAAGGAGACAGGAATCTCCCCTTGAAGGCTGATGTTCTCCAATTTTCTGACAAACACTAAACTATATCAATATATAATACTTGAAACAATCTCGTGTCTTGAAACAAACCCATGCTCAGATACAAACAAATATGCTCAAAGAAAAGAGATAAAGGGAAAGGATGAAAAGCATTGGAGGAATCGGGGAGATAGAGATACAGATAGCATACAATGTTGTCAAAGACGGCAGACTTGAAGCCCATGAAGGAATAACAGAAGAACTGAAACTATTGTTACTCAGATCCCTGCAGAAAATTTTAAGAAAACATGAAAATGAAAAAGCACTGAACAGATATTCAAGCATATATGTATACACATATCCTTGACTTTCAAGGAGGACTTCTGAACAAGATGGAGGGAAAAATACGTGACAATTACTTCTCAATGAAACAAATTTTACTTAATCCCCAACTTTCAAAGGAGCTAACACATATTACTGCTTTACTACTTACACATAGGCTAGAAGATTCATTCCAGTAAGATCTGGCAGAGAAACCATTCAACCTATTATTTGATAAATACCTGAAAATATAAAGTCAATGCTTCCCCTCAGTCAAATGATCATTAAATACAAAGAGTAGCTTACAGATAGTCCTCAAGTTGAAATTGGCATGTTTATTTTGTCCTCTTACAGATCACCAAGATTTTTGAGATTGCTGATGTTTGAAGGCACTCTCCCACTTAATTGGTTCCTATCAAAACGGCTGTTGAAAAGGGAAAATATTAATCACAGTAAAACTCCAAAGGATTTCAGGAACAGTAAATATGTGAACTGATGACTTCACTTGTGATAAGATACTTACACCGCCTCCAAAGAGTTCACCAGCCCAAGGGTACCAGGAATACTGCCACTTAGTTGATTGCTGTCGAAAAGCCTGGCCAAAAGAATATAGGAGAGGATGGACAGTCAGGTCAACATGTCTGCTGGTCTCACCTTATGAGGAAAAATTGAAAATATAAAACATTATAACATGGGGATTTTCAAGCTGTTTATTTAGTGAGAGATTCCGTGGGGAGAAAAGAAGGTACTGTAAAGGTCTAGTAGATCTTACACATGGACGAGACTCATATTTGGACTAAAAAGTTCAGCTGGAATTCCACCCGAGAGCCTATTGTTTCCCATGTGACTGCAAAAAGTGGACATAATCTTTAGATCCTTGCGCTGAACCAGAAACTATCCATTCATGGCAATACAAGAGACTATCAGCCCAAATTGAGGATTAGAGTTGACATACAAGTGCTGTGCCTTAAGCAGCTTGTCAAGTCCAAGCACTCCTTTTTCAGAGACAGGGATAGGTCCTTCAAGCTGGTTATCAGAAAGGTCTAGCCAATTAATATTGGATAGATTGCCTATGGTAGGTGGAATGTTTCCACTGAACTGATTAGAGTTCAGAGCTCTGCACGGAAAGCAATAAGATGATAGGTCATTCAGAATTTATCAATATGGTGATAGCCCAGAGCAGAAACATTGTGAAACATCTTATTTTGGTACAATAAATATGACTTGGGATCTGAGACAGTTCTTATTTGTGTAGACATTCTCAGATATAACAAAAGAATTGTTAAAGATGAAATCCTTACAGAAAATTCAGCTGCTGCAAAGATCCGATTGAATCTGGAATACTGCCAAAGAAATTACATCCAACCAATATACTGGAAAACAGTGAGAAATGCAATGGATAAGTTTAGGACAAAATTTTGCAAGGGAAAAGAAAAGGTGAAAATGAGGGGAAAAAAAATTAATGATCAGGAACTAACAGAAGATCCAGAGTATTACAGTTATTTACTGTTGGGTACTAATTGACTTCCTTACAGGGCTTTTAATTTTTTCATATTTCCAATCTCTTTCGGAATTGTTCCTGTCAGGCCCTTGTTGTTAGAGAGATCCCTATTATTAACAAATTTTTTCATTCAATTCTTTTCATAGATAAAAAAGTATTCATAGATAAAAAACATGTTGCAACTACTAATGAGTGTTGCATTCAAAATTTATCTATGAATTCAGTATTGAGTGCAAATGAAATGTAATTTAGAACATTGCATTCTATAAATTCGGATAAAAATTTGGCAGTGTGTGTAACAAGTGCCACAAAATGTGCATACAAATCAGAAATACCCAAACTCAAGTTCAGAACTTTCTGGCACTTAAGCATTCCAGTGTTAAAAAAAAAAAAAAGGATAAACAGACAAAAGGTAGTTCAAGTATTTAATCAAATTAGCTGATTTTAAGTCATTATAAGAGCAGAAAAAGATCAAGTAGTAAACTCACAAAGTCTCTAACTCAGATAAAAACTGGATATCTGAAGACAGCTTGCCTCCAAATTCATGCTTGCTAATATTCTGAATAAAGCAGTCAAGACAGAAGCAGAAATAAATAAAAAATAAAAATTATATTGAAGGAGCCAAAGAATCCATGCACTGACATTGAGGTCACTCTTGAATTGGTGCATTGAATTCCTTCCCAACCACTGCCACAAGGATCCGAGCCCACCCAGCTTGGTGGTTTGTTCTGCCAAGATGCTGTGAGAGATTGCAGGGAAATAACTGCAATGGTGCAGCATACATAACAATATTGTTAACAAATGCTAAATTCTCAAGTAAATCTTCTTAATACCAAATGAACAAATACATCTTCTGAAAGTTTGCATTTATCTTTAGACCCCTCAGTGCAATGAATTCCACAGAATAAAGCTTTCAAGATCACGTCAAAAACAAATGAATAATAAAAGGAAGTCCTATTACAAGAGATTATTCTTGTCATTTTTTCCTAAGCCTTTTTTATTCGCTTAAACATGCAAGTTCAAATCAATAATTGAGCTTTTGCAAAGTATAAGCAGTTAATATCGTAGCCAATCAAACAGGCTGAGTCTAGATCATGTCACTCAACATGAAGAAAATTCTACGAACGTCATAAGCAAATTAAATTTTGTCTGAGGATATTGATGGTAGAAATTTCCAGTGCGAGAACTTTCATGAGTTGAATGCATAAACATAGATTTCCGCACTCCTTATTTGGAAATGAAGACAACAGAAACATAAACAAATTTTAGCTACTTGTAGTTTCTTTTCCCTAAAAATAAAAACCCCAAGATACAACTTCCCTGAAATGTTGCCCAAAATAGACTAACAAACATTAGTCATGTCGTTCTCACCCTGAGAGCACCAACATGTCATCCATAAAACTAATGAGGAAATGGCCTTGCTCTTTTGCATAAGTGTGAAAAGAGACAGGAAATAGTTGTGAAAAATATAGTTCAAACGCCAAAGAAAGTGTAAAGCAGTTGAAAATATCCCAAGAACTTACAGTCCTGGTAGGAGCTCTGTGCTGATACAAGCAGAGATTGGTATAGAAGCAGTAGCAGAAACAATTTAAATGCTTGTTCCATTTCTCAAAGATCCTCAATCTGTTCAAAACTTTCAGTTTAAAGTTAATACCATGGAATAGCGGAAAAAGATAAAATGAGCACCATCTAATTACGTGGGAGACAGAGCCTTTGTTGTCACAACCAAATTGAATTCGCAATAGACACTTGCTCAGGATGGCTTACTAGTACTTTTGATTACGTCAGCGGCATTAGTAGGCCAATTCCGGTCTCTAGTATGTATACATAATTGTAGCCCAGAACATGGGAAGTATAAAGACTTCTGACTGAATCCTTCTCATATTTACAAAAGAAGAAAGCTCTAAGTTAACATGCATATAATGGGCAAACAATCACCTAAGAAAGGATATCTTCAACTGCCATTTCATCTCCGGTCCTTCATTCTTAAAGCATAGCTCAAAAATCAAGAAAGCTTGAACAAGACATTTGACTGTTGATAAATAAAATTGCTAGAGGTTGGATATGAACCATTTCTAAAACAAGAAGGAAAGATAATACAACCACATTGTAAGAGCAAAATCGCAAGCTGACTCGTTCTTTCAATTTTGTTGAGGTGAAAAAAAACAGAACTAAATCATCATATACAATGAGACATTTGGCCACTTTGTTTGCCGTCCAAGGCGATTAAAATAATCTAATCAGCTGAATATATTGCCAAGAATTGAGTCACTTTTATTTCTCCGTTAACAGGTTAGAGCCAGGATGAACCATGAATTTTCTAATATGCATAAAATATTGTCTAAATTCTCCTATGCAAAACCATGCATCGAACATTACATAGTACAGACAAAAAATGGTCACTTAAAAGATTTCAAAATACTCAGGAACCTGCCTCGTAGTTGGGACAGGCTTGGATCAGCCTGTGTTCTTTGTAAATAAACGCGTTGAGGTGGCAGCCAGCCGGAGCTGGAGTGCCGGAGGCATATAGTATCATAGTTTCGTAGAAGACAAAAATGAAGAAATAAAAAATTGTCGAAAGTGAAATAGCTTCCTCTTCTTCTCATTCTGCGTCTAATTCTAGAAATTAGAACAAGTCACGATTAACTAGCAGTCTCTTTGATTTTCATGGCTGAACCTGAAGAGTAAGCCAGAAGCATATTGCTCCCAAGATACAAGTTCTCATTTCACGAGGAAATTAAAAAATTCAACTTCATATTGCATCAAGATTATCTCGGCTTCTAATTTTATAATTAAAATGTAGTTAAGATAATGATGCCAAGAATTCTATTAAATAACAATATGTAAATATTACGACTCATCCATGCCCAAAACTGAGTTGAGTTTCAGTGCTTATTATTGTAGTAAGATACTGAGATTAGACTATTTGAAATTGATTTTAACGATGCAGAAAATTTTAAAGGAGAAATTACTCCCATAAAAGAGAATTTATTATAAAAAATCTTATAAAATTTATAAAATACTCTTACATTTTAAACCTTTTAGATTTACAATTTAATAAAGAAGATTTATAATTGAATAACAGACGTTTACAATTTATTATTATAAATTATTATTTTTTTATAAATTATAAATATCTATTATCTAATTATCAATATTCTTCATCAAGTTATAAATATGCAGCATTTAAAATTTAAAAGTATTTTATAAATTTTATAGGATCTTTTAATTATAAATTTTTATATGTGAAACTTAGGTGTAATTTTTTTAATTTTTAGCCTGTGATTTATTATGTGAAAAATTATTTTTTTGTCAAAATAGCTATTATAAAATTATTTTCATTTTAAATTATGCACCTATTGCAATAACAATTTATGAAAAATATAAAAATAATATGATTCTGAACTGTTTAAATTTGATTTCGGCAATTTAAATTGATGCTCATCCCACAAAATGGGTCCACATTGATGAGCATCCAGAAGTATCCCAAAACCTCGTAATATGATTGACAAATGCTAATAACGATTACACCGAACATGGATAAAACTGATTTTATTTGAATTAGACCAAACTCAATGTATAAATTCAAATTAAATACTCCCTTCATTTAAAAATATAAAAAAAATTTTAAGAAGTTAAATATTAAAAAATGTAAAATATTTTTAATTTTTTGATATGTAATTATTTTTTTTTTTTTAAAGTGTCCCTATTAATGAATAATTTTATATTTATTTTGTAGATATTTAATTTAATAGGAGTAAATATAAAAAGATAAAATTAGTTTAAAAGTAAGTAATTACTTTATTAAAAATAAAATTTAATTAAAAATATTTTATATTTTTTAAGAGAATATATCTTTGTGCAATGTATAGATTAAAACAAATAATTATTCATAGTCTGTAAATAGTACTTTATATTGATGAGTACCGTTTTTGAAGGACAAGCTAGTTCGGTTGGTAACTAGTGCATGCTTTTAATCAGGAAAAATAGGGAGAATTTCAATTGAGGATTATGAATAGGACTGAATTACTAATGAGTTTTAAAAAATTTAAAATTTTAATTCAGTCCAAAAAAATTAAAGTGAAAATAATTTTAATGGTAAAAATACTAAATCATCCTTATTATGTAAAATCATTAGTTAATTTTTTTAGTGCATCTGTTAACTTACTAATATAATTTGTAAATTATATGAATTTACATATTAATAATTATATAATATTCAACATCAGTTGTTCAATCACAAAGAATAATATCAATTATTAAATTATTAACTTTACTTATTAATTTACTAATATTAGTTGTGAATTACAATGTTGTAAATTAATGACAAGTATTATAATTTATAACTGATGATAGTAAATTAATAAATTAACAGTTGATGTTATTGCTTGTCTGACAATAGATATAATTTATAACTTTTATTAATAAATTAACAAATAAAGTAAGAAAATTAATAATTAATAATTCTACCTAACAAATGAAGGGTAATTTGATTTTTTTACCATTGAAATTATTTTTACTTTAATTTTTCTGAACTAAATTAAAGTTTTAGATTTTTTTTTTGGGACTCACTAGTAATTAAGTCATATTCATATCCCTTAATTGAAATTCTCTCAAAAACCACCTGATTGTTGAGTTGAAATTAATATGTAACAGCAAGATTATGAGGGAGTATGTGACGAAAATTAACATATAACATTGCATTTTAAAAACTGAATTTAAACTCAGCACTGCAATAAAGTCAATACAGTTCTTTCTTTCCTACAAGATTTTCTCTAATTGCAACGTTGGAATATTGACATTAAAAAGGACAAATTATTATTTTATCCAGGGAAAATCATTCTAAAGTTTCATAGAAGCAATTAAAATACGTTGAGGTCTCATAAATTTAAGAAATAGTTGTCAGGTCCCTAGGGACCTAAGAGTGAATAAGTCTGAAAGTAAAATTATCCATTTGCCCTCTATTTGAAATATGAAAAAATCAGTCTGCTTCCCAGTAACCTACGAAACTGAAAACAGCTCTCTCTTCCTCATTCTGCCATGCTCCAGAGCTAACCGCCAACCACTATTCTCGCAATCGCATTCCATCAGAGAAGACTGTCGCGCCGTCAGAGAGTGAAAAACTTGAAGGAGTAAAGAACGAGAGTAGCTCACTCCTTCTTCAGTGACTCATATTTGCCCTAATCGCCATTATCGGATTGTCTTTGCCGTCCTCTCCCACCGTCTCGCCACCACAGGTTCAACTGCCATTGATTCTGTGTTTTCTTCTCCCATTATTCCTTTCTTTGTTCTTTTGTTTTTTGCTGGTATCTCGGTTGTGACTTTAATTTTTCGCATCTCTGTTTTCACACATCACTGTAATTTTCCGTCTCTGTTTTTTTGCTCGTATGTCAGTTTTCTTGTCACCTAATTTTTCACATGTGTGAAGTAATCTCCACATTAAGTTAAAACGTCCCAATCTTCACATTACAGAGGCTTCTCTGTTATCTCCTTGCCAAACCCTCTCCGCCATCACAATTAGAGGGAAATTTTTGTCATAGAGTCACATAATCCTTGACTTCCTACTCCATTAAAGGATGAGCCAAATGGGAGTCTACTTGCCAAACCGTCACCACTTGAATTCTGATTTTTCCCCACTCTAACTTTGAAATGGTCTGACAAGCCATTTTCAATACGTGTTGAACTTTCTCATCCTTCATATTATTGGCTAGCATCCGTTGAATTAAATTTGGTTGAAGATTATTGTATTTTCATAGTTTGAAGAGGTTTGTGTTACTGTCACTCTCACTTAGGCATGACAAGCAGTTATTAAAATTAGAAGTGTTGCCTTGACTGGATATACATACACCTCACATTGAACTTTTTGTATAAATGTCATTTAGACAGACCTAGAGTTAGTAGATTACTGGATATACATGCAACCTAAAGATCTACTATTAACTTGCTTAAGGATACTGGTATAATTATTTGTAAATAGAAAGAGGAAAGGAGATAATGATTAGCTGTATAATGACTAAGGTTATGTGAGTAGTTTCTGAAATTACTGCTTAAAGTTTCCATCTTCAGGGACGATAAATGATCAAGTATATTTCTGATATGTTGCAAAAGTGTAGCTATACATGAGATTTTTATAATTACTTAAGGGACGTATTTGCATGTTTCAACTTTCAACTACTCCTCTTGCGTTTTATATTTTTATTCTAGTATGTTTAACTTCCAATTCTGCTTAAAAATATGTAATTTTAAATATGTACGAATTTTTTCATTGATGACAACTGCTTTCTTTGTTGACAACAACCATATGCTGTATTAACCAAAATCATTTATTCCATGAATGACAACTAATTACTTCAATGACTACAACCATAAACTCCATTGACAACAACAGTATGCTCCATTGACTAGTGAACCGTCATGCCTTTGTGACTTGTGTTTTTTTCTTATTAATAAACAATGCCAGTGTAGAAATCTTTAAGTTGGAACTTAGTAATGATTAGTATGCATATATCTCTTTTCAACATATCTAATTGAACTTTTCTATTTGTTTTCCAGATAAAGGAAGATGGAAGATAAAGCAAACACAACAGTGAAGAGATATACCGTACCATTTCATATGCGCTGCTCTCCTAGCTAATTTGGTGAAGTAGCAAAGTATATTAAGAAAGATGAGAAATTACAGAAAAGGGTTGAGAAGCTAGGATTCCATAGGCTTCTTAATGTGTCTTGTAAAAAAATTCAAAGAGATATTTGTGGAGAGTTGATGCATGCCTTTGACCCCCTAACTCGTGAAATATGCATAAGGGAGAAAATCAAGCAAATGAAGCCCAAGGATGTAAATGACTTGATGGGTTTATTTAGTGAGGGTAAGCAGATTACTGGGGATGTCAATGTTGACTACTTGACTTTAGCGATTGACAAGTAGTTGTAATTATATTGACACACTACTTATTCTCCATTGACATGTCCTGATGCACTTGGTGCTGTTAGTCTCTTCAAAAATCAACCAGGTGCAAGAACCTGTTGACTACTTCCTTTGCCTATTGACAAGTAGATATAACTATATTGATAAGGTATTAATTCTCCATTGACAAGTGCTGACGCACTTAGTGCTATTAGTCCCTTCGAAAATCAACTAGGTGTAAGAATCTGTTGACTACTTCCATTGCCTATTGACAAGTGGATATAACTATATTGACAAGGTGTTAATTCTCCATTGACAAGTGATGACGCACTTGGTGCTGTTAGTCCCTTTAAAAATCAACCAGGTGCAAGAACCTGTTCACTACTTGCCATTAGTCATTAACTAAAAGGTATCACTTTATTTTCAATTTATGCATTTGCTATTGACAAGTACTAATACATTATGTATAATAAACTAAAAAGTAAACAAAAACAAATTCTAGATAT